TACGTACTACGTACGTACGTACGTACGTACGTACGTACGTACGTACGTACTACTACTCTACTCGTCTCTACGTCTCTACTCTACTCTACTACTCTCTCTCTCTCTCTCTCTCTCTCTCTCTCTCTCTCTCTCTCTCTCTCTCTCTCTCTCTCTCTCTCTTACCCTCCCCTTCTCCCTCTCACTCACTCTCTCTCCATCTAGCCCAAAGTATTTCCATGGACACACAGGGAGACCCAACTACCCAAGATCTCTTTCTCCATCTCTCTCTAGATCCAAAGAAAGTCAAGGCCTCTCTTCTTCATTTCTGGAGCCGCAACCAGCTAATGCTTTAAAATCCTAAAAACCAGAGGCCCTCGTTAAAGGTATGATTGCCATTGATCCATGATCATGAATCCTTAAACTTGCACAAATCTAGGGTTTTCACTTGATAAAGTTGTCAAAATGGAGAACATTAAAAAAAAAAAACTTGTTGAAATGGAGAGAATTCAGGGTTTTGTCTACAAATTATCAGCACAATTGATAAAGATGCTGATATCTAGCCTTTATTCAGGAAACAGCCATCATGATAGGCCAGGGTAAGGTTTTTCTCACTGTTTATTGGTGTGGTTGAAATTTTTCAGGCATTTTGGTTTTTCAGATGATGCTACCATTGAACAAAGAAAGAAAAGGAAGTTGGGTTGATCAATACTAAATCGAGAGAGAGGCCATATTGTACACTAATTTGATTTGAAGTCTTCTCAGATAATTTTGGTCTCTTCTTTCCTGCTTCAATTGCGCTGAAAATTAGGAGAAAAGCAATTAGAAAAGATAGGGGGGGAAAGAAATACATTTAATCAAAGTCTGGAGAGTATATTTGGGAAAAAATATGGGGGATTCTGATACGAGATAGTTGCTGGTTCAGTAAATGGATTGTTGCACCCAAAACAAGCTGGACCTGAGGTTCATGGACTGTCTCCATGAATATAAGAGAGCCATCACCATGAAAAGCTCTTCGATAGCTTTGGCATATAAAGATTACCTCATCAACCACATTGACTTAACAGGTCACATGGACTTTTGCAATGATGTCTCAACCGCTGCTTGTCGTGCTTTGGTTCTTGTCAAGTCAGTAGAATGTGTACACATTCAGACATGCACGGTTTTGAGGCTAGCTTTGGTCGAGAAATTAACAAATTGACAGGCTTATCTTGGAGCTCAAATTAAGCCCCATTGGAGCTTGTAACAAGTTGCGGAGGATAGTTCACGTGGTTGATTTTGCACCCTGGTCTCATGGTGACTGATTCTGTGATCAAGATGATCTAAGTTCCAATGGGTTGGATGGGCTGTGCTGGGCTGTCGGGCTTAGGCCTTATCAGAGGAATCAGGTGGGGCCGGCCTAATCTGAAAAAGGTTTTGGGCCCGAGCCTTGCCCAAAAGATTTGGGCCAGACTCGGGCAGCTCGAGGGACGGCCTGTCGGTAGCCCTAGTTCTCTATTTGAGTTATTTGTATCTATTTAAGAGTGGTTGGTGTTGTACCAAGTCTTTTTCAATTTACGATTACCTTAAATCTTGACAATATGCTGAGCTCTCCATGGTGTTTGTATATATCTATTTAAGAGTGGTTGGTGTTGTACCAAGTCTTTTTCAATTTACGATTACCTTAAATCTTGACAATATGCTGAGCTCTCCATGGTGTTTGTATATAGATTGTATATAGCCTATATTTAGTGCAATGTTACAATTCAGAGGAACTAGCTTTCTGGATTGGGACTTCACCATTAACTGTATTATATAAATCTTTGTGAGATAGTATTTTGTCATTTCTATATTACTAATATGAAATACGTCTCCTTTATGTAATTAACTAGTGTGCAGTTTTGTTACTCACCTATGGATTTATGTTGATTTGGTATTTTTAAGTTTCACATATTTAAGTGCCTCGACTGGCAGTATTCACAAGTTATGACTTGTTTTCTCTTTATCATTGTTTGGGTTTGTTGAGGTTGAAGGCCAGAACCAAAGCCCAACTGTTGAAGGATCAAAATTTGTTGGTTATATATCGAACAGTTGTGCATGCTCTCAAGTAGCCTTCTACCATCCTTTTGTGGGAAAATCAAGAAAGGAGCATTATCATCTTTTATCTACCTTGTAAAATATACTCACTTTTTGTTACTGATATATGAACTCTTTGAGGTTCGTATTACAATTGTTTGGATCTATGCTTACAATTTAAATTTCTGAGGTTCTCCTCAATGCCTTTTTCTCCTCAGGCGAGCAAGGTGCTGCTGGAAATGAGGGTTCTAAGCAGAGTAGGAGTGAGAAAAAGAGCAGGAAGGCCATGCTGAAGCTGGGGATGAAAGCTGTTACTGGCGTCAGCAGAGTGACTATCAAAAGAACCAAAAACGTATGGCTTCCAACATAAATTCATCACGTTATGTACAGTGTCTACAAATACACGTGCGAGATCGAGAGAGAGAGATAGAGAGAGAGAGAGAGAGAGAGAGGAGAGAGAAACTTCCATTGCTGTTTGCTAACTGTGAGAGAATTTTCCATTGCTGTTTACTAACTAATTGTGCTTGTTTGACCTTGCAGTTCTTGTTGGCGATACAGAAATTCAATCTTTTAATATTGATTGTTAACCAATCTACTTCTTTAACCATGCAGATCTTGTTTGTGATCTCGAAACCTGATATTTTCAAGAGCCCAAATTCCGAGACCTATGTGATATTTGGTGAGGCAAAGATTGAGGACTTGAGCTCACAACTTCAGACTCAAGCAGCCCAACAGTTCAGGATGCCTGATATGAGCAATGTTCTGGCCAAGCCAGATGCATCAGCTGCTGTCCAAGATGATGAAGAGGAAGATATTGATGAAACAGGCATTGAAGCTCGAGACATTGACCTGGTCATGACCCAAGCGGGAGTATCAAGAGCTAAGGCGATTAGAGCCCTCAAGGGTTCAGATGGAGATATAGTCAGTGCCATTATGGAGCTTACCACTTAAGTATTTTAAATTTTAAATTTTTTTGGGTAAGTTTTTGGCCTAGTAGTAAGGCAATGGCATTTAATGGTTTGGATTACGAATCTGAATTCTCTTATTCTTAATTTTCAATGCTGTTTTTTTCATTTTTGTCCATCGAGTCAAGACTTGAGTGATGATATTTTGAAGGTGGCAGAGACTTAGGCCTGGAGAACAAGAACTACCTCACATGTTTATCCTTTTATTATGATTGATGAGTTCAGTGAGTGGAGTTCAATAGTACTGTTGATGGGTGGTTATCAATGGATGGGTACATATCTATCACACTATGGAAAAGCTTTTATGTTGGGTTTGTCCAAATCCAGGGTGGGGTACGTAGGGGTAGGCTCCAAATCATTTCTGTCCTATTCTCTACAAATTGGGCGTTATACCTCCCTATACAGAAGCATCGACCTTATGTCTTGTAGTGTAAGAGGGACTGTTCTCAAGGAAGCTATTTCTGGTCGCAGAATCCAACTTGTTTTCTCTGTTGCATCCATGGTAGTGAATAGCACCATGTGCTGTCTTCTCATGTGGTGTTGCTTGCTGCATCCATGTGCCATGTGCCGCCCTGAGTCGGCTTAGCGAGTCCTGAGTCAGCATGGACTTGGACAGCAGTAAAAAAGTTTTAAATTGATTTAAAAATTACAAAGAAAGCAATATTAGGAAATGAATATTTTCTGTAACACCATTACACATATTGATGAAAAAGATTACGAGATTTTTGGGGTCTGTCTGAATCAGTTAGATTTGAGGCTCGTTGAGGCTCTTTAAAACCTGAGATTGGAAAATTAAATTCTCTTGAATATGCTAAAGCTCGAGTTAATGCTTTTAAAATTTTGTTTATGGATCTAATAATACGTTAGGCAACGATGATCGATGGGTTAAGATTTGAAGCTGAAATACTTTCTTTTGCACCAAATGTCAATATTTTAAGTTTTTTTTTCTGCTGAATGAAAATGACAATGGCGCTTCTCACCCGAGCCTTATTGAAATTTCAGTACCTCTATTCATTGTAGTGAATAGGTTGCGCCTTGTCCGGGGCCTTGAATCTTCGAAGTCAGGACCCTTGGGGTGACCCCGGTGATTTGTTACTTAAGTCAACAAGTCTTTCAATGCTGCATCTACCTGACTAGACCATGCCTATATAGAAACTGCACGGCTGGTTCATTTGGCATGGTGAAATGTGGTTCCGATTCAAACTAAGACCAAATATATCATTTGGCATGGTGAAATGTGGTTGTCTGATTCAAATTAAGACCAAATATAGGGAACGCACGTTTAGTAATAATAGAAGTATAAACAAGGAAGTAATTAAGATTGATGGTCAAGAAATATTTAAAATACATTATTTTTGATATTTTCGGTCGACAATCTAGGAGAATGGAGGGATTGAGGACGATGTTCATGAAATTGGAGAAGGTGGGGGAAGTGGATATGTGTATTTGGAGTTTTATGTGAACGCAGCATACCAATGAAATTGAATGGGAAGTTCTAAAGGACAATAATAAGACAAGCAATGCTTATGGGACATAATGTTAAGAGGTCAAGAAACAATATAGCTATAGGATGAGTTTAGCTAAGATGAGGATGTTGAGATGGATGAGTGGTAAAACAAGAAATGATAAAATTCAAAATGAATATATTGGAGGGAATTTAGGTGTGGTTTCATAGGCGATAAGATGAAGAAAAGTACTTAAGTGGGCTAGCCATGTGCAACGTAGGTCTAAATCAACATCGATTAGGAGATGCGATTTGATATAAGTGAAAGGCTCTAAAAGGGCAAAAAGAAGACTCAAAAGGATATGGATGGAAATAATAAAAAAATATATGGTGACTTATGATCTTACTAAGGTGTGGCATTTGATAGAGTAGAATGACAGAAGATGATTCGTGTAGATGAGATAAGGCTCAGCTGATAATGATGATCGGATGTTGTCAATCTGTTGCCCTCACCTGGTGTTCTAAAAATCCTTTTCTCTTTTCTCCTTTCCCTACTCATCTTTGTACGTTGCCAATCAATTTTTGTGGTTCCAACTTCCAAGTGAGTAAGAGTTCAAACATAAACCATGCTTTAATTTGATGCAGTGCTAGGTTGATTTACACTTTTTATTTTTTTGGAAAGCTTTACATGTGACCCATCTACATATAAAATATATGTGGCCCTTACTTTCAACCATTCAATTTGAGTCGAGTTTGCTCTTGAGCATCAGATCTTGATCCGATGGCCTAGAGTATTTATTTTTTATTTTTTATTCTAAAAATGCTTTTGTAGCAAAATTTGGGGCATGAATATGTCTAAAAGAGAGAGACACACACATAAATATAGACACACACACGCTCAAGATAAAAAATTACCATAATACCCCTAAACCTTGTAGAGTCATTTTGGTTATTTAATTTTATTGCAAATGCTTTTATTTTTATTTTTTTAGGTGTCGCCTCAATGAAAAGACGGGACGCCCCGAGGGGACACCCCAAATTTCATTAAAAAATACTTCGTAAAAAAAATTAAAAGTCTAATAGTATTTTGGCATGACAATGTGACATGAGCGATCTCAGCCGTCCATTCTTAGAAGTGGGGTCATATTTATAAGTGTCTAGGGTCACATATAAGACTTTCTCTTTTTTCGTATCTTTCTTATCCTACTCATTATGAGAGCTTTTTTCCAACTTTTTGGGATCAACAACACGAATCCTGATCTATTATTTTGCTCTATTAAAGGCCACTAAGTCATATGTCGCCATATATTTTCTCACTACTTCCAACTATATCTTTTTAGACCTATCCCTTGCCTTTTTTCTGCCTTCCACTTGAACCAATTCGTACCTCCTAAAAACTGTTGTATTGGGTTTGTACTACATATGACCAACCCATTTAAGTCTATTTTCTCTCATCTTATCACATATTAGAGCCACACCTAAGTTCTCCCGAATGTATTTATTTCGAATATATTATATCCCTCATTGTCTTGCCACTCATCAATCTCAACATCCTCATTTCTGCGAAGAGTCTAAGGTTTATCTAAAGAGACTCAATGTCCATTAATTGTTATGAATATACAAATTTGTCTTTTATAGATAAATTACATATCACAATAATAAAAAGTAAATCATAGACACCTAAAATATACCAGACTTACCATAAAATATAGGATACAATATCCTACCCTTCACATATTTACTGATTACAATATACACCTTCTATATTAAACGGATATACAATATATACTTTCCTTTCACAATCTCAACTACACTCATCCGACGGGTATGTTGTTTCTTGATCACCCATCCGTCCTATAAAGCAAAGCTAGTCTCACAGTTGTCCTATAGAACTTTTCCTTTAGTTTCATTGGTATGCAACGATTGCATAAAACTCCAGTTGCACATGACCAATCTATCTGAGTCTGTTTTCTCTCATCTTATGACCTATTAGAGCCACACATAAGCTCTTCCGAATGTATTAACTTCTAATTATATCCCTTATTGTCTTACCACTCATCCATCTCAACTACATTCATTCTATATGTATGTTGTTTCTTGATCGCCCAACATTCCGTCCCATAAAGTAAAGTTGGTCTCACAGTTGTCTTATATAACTTCCCCTTCAGTTTTATTGGTATATGCAGCGATCGCCTAAAACTCTAGTTGCACATCTCCACCTCGACTAAGCAGTCTAATTCTTTACCGTACTCATCTTTGTAGATTGCCAATCAATTGATTAAGTCAAAATGTTGAAAGATTTAAGGTATCGAAAGAACCATTTCTACTTGCAAAATTTGCAAATATATTATCTCTACCTTGATGAACATGGTTATAAATATAAAAATCAATTTGGTTGATTTTTGGAAGACATGATTTTGAAAACTACATTTTCCAATATTGTAGCACTTCCCTGATTGATAACGGGAAGTGTTACACTAAAAGTGGATATTGCGGTATCGACATACAGTCATTTTAATATTAAAAAGTGGATACCGCAAGTTCTATAGGTGACCATGAAACTTGCAGTATCCACTTCTCTGTAAGATATGTTTTTCAAAATCACGTCTTCCGGAAAACAAACATATATCCTAAAAGAAAAAGAAAATTTCAACCAAGCAAGACAGGTTAACAACATGTTGTTACAAAATTCAACCTTTAGGAAGTATACCATGAATTCCTATGATCATAGATATTTGCCAGTGTGCACTCGGATAAAAAAGGGAGAGACTGAAAGAGTTTGTCAAACCTTCACTGTAAGTTTGAAGCCCAGGGTAGTTTTCTCCATTCTCTCAAAATTTCAAATAGAAGAGCATGACAAAGAAGTGTTTTCTTTCTTAGTGGTGAGCATTTTGCATTGATTAAATAAACGGTTTTTATGACTCATAGGACTCATATGTAGATATGCATCCCCTTTTCATGATTTATTTTGGAGTTGGATTTTGTACTTCATGCTTTATGTATATATAGTTTCTAACATGGAAATCATGAATGCTTAAAAATACATTGAATTTAAAAAAATAAAATGAAAAATTTTGAAGGAAATTTTTGAACTGTTGATTTTGCCCTTTGGAGAAAGCACAATTTGATTTTGCACTTTATAGGAGAAACCACAACTTCACATATGTGATGCTTCGGGAGGCACAAATGTACTTCTGCGGCCCTTGGAGCATAAACTACTTTTCCTTTAAATAAATGGGTTTCGAAAACAAAAGCAGTCACACGGCTTGCCAAAGTGTTCCATGTGTAGTAAATGCTCATGAAAAAATAGTTCTATGACTAGTTAGAACCACATACACCATTCTTCTACGGAAGCATATTGTATAGTTAGTCCTTGGGTGAAAGTTTTGAGACATTATGTTTTCAGAGGCACATCGAAAGTACTAGTTGGGTTTTTCTTTTCGAGATTCGTTGCTAGGAGGATGTTACATCTCCAAACTTTAAGCTCTTGAAAGCACTCCTAGATTAGATATTTACCTGAGGGTAAGGGTGGGAAATATGGTCGGGTCACCCCAACAACTGGGATAGGGTCTTGACCTAGACACTCTAAGGGTATAGTCTTGGTCCACTTCACCTCGACCTGAACTAGGACAGGTCCTGGTTTGGATCCATCTTGGAGTGTAATTGGGTTGGGTCAGGTTGACCCTGATCGTGACCTAACCCGGTATATACAAATATAAGATACATACAAATATAAGATATATAAATTTTATATCATAAAAACTATAAAAAACAAAAAAATATATATAATTTAATTTCTAGA